TATACTGTGACAGCATAAAGGATTCTGGTAAGCATATCTTGTCCTGTCTTAATCCAGTTTGTTTGAAGCTTGCTTAATTTCTTTACCCCAACCAGGGATCCTGTTCTCTGATAGGAGCCAAGTCTTTGTCCCATGTCCTCTACGAGCCAGATCTCTTAACTGCATTATCAGGTGGCCTGTGCTGAAAAGACTTGGCAAATAGAAGAGTAGTGCTATTACTGATAAAATTATGAAAGGGAAGAGTAAGGGGAAAAAACAATAATCAATTTTTGTCTCTACTTGGTTTAAACTGGCTCTAAGGTACCCTGGACAATACAGAAGTACATTGCTGAATTTATTTGCAGATATAAGAGTTTTCAAGAACAAACCTTGCATATTTGTAATGTGAGGAAGCTGTTGGTAGAACTGTAAAGAACAGAGAGTCTTTTGGTTTTCGGCATGGAAAATAGAACCTGCAGTGCTGTGTTAAATGCCTTTAGCTTGTGTCTGACTCTTCCTGACATGTGCATGCATGCACACAAACAAACAAGTACATATAAATATAGTCAATACAGCACCCAGGCTTTTCTCTTGTGCCACACTTACTGTATATAAATCTGGTGGCCAAAATGCTTTTTTCTTAACTATTAAGAAACAAAAATAAAAAATTAAGGTGGTATTGATGTTTTTCATTACATAATTACTTGCAGGTACTTATCACTTTCAATAATGAAAATTGAAGAAAATAATTTAAAACTTCTTTGAATTGAGGGAATAATGTATAGAAAGGCTGCATGAGATCCTCAGCTGTGTAAGTTGGTCTGAACCCACTGTTTGGAGTATGAAAATCTGCACTAGGTGAAGATCTGTTACATTTCTTCTCACTACCTATGAAGTTGATAGGGTTTTTTGGGGGAGGATCTGAGGGTGGTGATATGGAAATTCCATACCCACTTGGAACCCTGCAAAAGCTCAGGAAACCTGAGTAGCTTCTTGTGTTGTTCTTTCCCTCCCATTCTGCTGCCTCTAGTTTATCCTATACTCAGACTCAAACTTACATGCAACACTTCCCATTTGCTTTTAAATCTTGTCTAAATTAGAGCTCATGACCTCGAACAGATAATGTGAATATGTGCATTTGTTATGGGGGAGGAAATCTGCACAATCACCAGTAAGTTTAGAACAAAATACTTTTTCTTTTTTTTTTTTTTCCTTTTGAAGTTTACAAACGATCAGGAATTTGGATTGGGTGATGAATAATTTTAAGTGGAGAAGTATGACCGCTATAAAGGACTGTAATAATATGTCTGTAGAGCACTTTGAAGATGAAAAACTTTATGTACTGTAAACACTATTACTAGTGTAGCTTAATCTGGAATAATTAGCATGAGCAAAACGTAATTTTATTTAATGTAAAATACAGTAGTTCAGTAAGTCTGATGCACCTGTGTATTTATTTTCACATTGCAACCAAGGAAATTCATCCTCTTTTCTGACATATGTTACAAGGCTTTGAGATTTTGCTTTACATGCTGGTCCAAGATGACCTGCCAGAAATGTGAAATGCCTCAGCTAGGAGGTAAAAAGAGATGTGGGTTTGGATTTTGGTTTTGTTTTTTTTTTTTTTTTTCATTTGCTTGTGTTTAAAGACGGTATAGAAGTGTTGTGCAACGTGTCAAATATGGAAGTGTTCAGGGGGCAAGTCAGCCTCCTTGAACTTGTGCTGTGGCTTTGGAGAAGACTTGAGTGAGTTTTGTTACAGAGCCGTGCAGGTGCCAGATTTTGCTGGGAAGCGAACACCTGCCAGGCTGCTCCAGATAACTCAGCAGCTCGGAGGCATTTTCCCAGGCTCCCAGCTGAATGGTCGCTAATAGCCGTGGGAGAGGGCTTCCCACTGCTCCGCACTGCACCACAGCCGCCTCTTGGCAGCCTCCTGGAAGCTCAAGGCAGCTTGGCTGCAGCTCCTTTGGAAAGGAAAGCAAGTGTTGCTGGATAGTTTTACAGTACAGAGTCAGTGTCTGATACTTCCTCTCAGTGTCTTGGGACCATGAAATATAACAAGCAGGGCAAATTACCATTCCCTTAAAAGGCAGCACTCACTGGGGCATGTTACAGCTGAAAGTGAACTGTGGCTTTTCTAGAATTACTTCTATTCAGTCACGTTTGGGGTTCCTTTTTTTTTTATTGTTATTTTTTATTTTTTGGTTGGTTGTTTCTTGCTGCTGGGATCTGATCTTTTGGATTTAGAAGAAAAACAAACCTCCAAACTACTTTTTTTCTTTCCTTCCTCTGTTGGTATTCTACAGACGGAGCTATGTCTACATTTTATGGTGAAGAGGAAATCAAAGATTGGTCCGAGTAGGTTTGCTGATCCCAAGATGTGTGAAATTTCTCTGTTACTGGCTGCAAAACAGTCTTTGTAGCTTAGGGTAAAGCTTGAAAGGAATGCTTAAAAAGTTAATGCTGGATTATTTTTCCTTCCTTCCAGATAAAATGACGAGCAGCTTTGGTTCTCTCTGTGTATATACTGGCCTTCTTTCCTGGAGCATACTTTACAGCTTACCCTGAAGCCATGTTAGCATATGCTGGTATATAAACAGTACTGATAGTGGACAAGTCTGAATTTGAGAGCAGATGCACACTCATGCTGAGTAAGCGTGTAGAAAGTTTAAAAACTTGCAAGCTGCATGAGATTGTCAGACAAGATGTCCTTTTGGCTCTTAGTTTTTAGCTTCATATTTCGTGAAGCAAAAATGGCTAATGGGATAATATATTTCTCTTGAAGGAAGCAGAAAGAGGTTATTGCACTTTTTATAGCTCTGCAGTAGTCCAGACTGTTTTAATACTGGAAAGTTTGTGAACTGTAGTTGACTTTATGGGCAAGATTAGATGTCACATACGAGAGGATTTTAAAATACTTGTTAAACGTAGCTGTATGGTAGTTTCAAAATATAGGTATTTTGAATGCAGTGCATCTTAAATTTTTGTCACTCTTGTCAGTAAGTACAGCAAATCATCTTTACTGGCTTTTTCAATGAAGTCAAATATAAATGGTCATGGGAAGTCCTAGTAACTAAAATTCTTTTCTAGTACTAGTCCCTTTGGGCAGAGATTCTTACCTCAGTTGCCAATTCCTTATCAAGGCTCTACAATGCTCAAGCAATCAGGCTTGAGGTGACACTGCAAAAATCGTGTAGAGCTGTCTGGCATCTCTTATTTATATGTTTTACTGGGTTGGAGGTATGTGTTCTCCAGAGAACAGTAACTGAAGAATCAAGGGCCTTGGAGAGGAATTTGATATTTTGTTCACACCATTTGTCAATTAAATATGATTAAATACTTCTCAGAGAATACCAGAACAGCATGAGAAATAATCAGATGTGCTCGTCACCTGATTCTTAAAAAAATGTCAGGAATGGTGTACCATGCTTTTCTGTGTAAAAACAGAAGATTCACACATTTTCATTTCTGTTCCTTGCCAAGAAAAATACCTTAGGAGTATCCCTGACACACAGAAGTGATAAGATTCTTACTGACTTTTAGGAAATTCATTGTGAAGTTGCACTTTTATGCATGCAACTTTTTTGGCATTACAGAGATCACAGTGGAAATGCTATCGTCATGCTAATAGCTTACTAATATGAAAGGCAGATTCCTTGCTTTGGCTAGCCTTACCAACAGTGTTAAAGAGCTGTGGATGCCAAACTGGAAATAGCTAAAAGTAATTTTCTTTAATTGAGTTCATAAATATACAGTTAATAAAGATGATGGATTACATCCAAATCTTTCTGTAGCACTCATCATTTTCAAGGGATGGTTTAACTTGTCACATCTTGACTTGATCTTTAAAGGGAAGTCAGAATTTAGGTATCTTCCCGAGGGGAAGGAAAAAAGATGGCTGATAAATTTCAAGGGTTTTGATTGTGATGAATAACTGTAGTTCTTAACAGGACATGTTGTGGAGCAGTGCTTCATGGAGAGCTCAGGAGGTATGGAGCACAAGCAGGAGAGTTGTAAAGTCTATAGGAAAGGACATGCATTTTTCCTGGTTATGCTTAGGAATAAGGCATGCCTTGGCACTTGCTCAGAAGAAGAGATTAAAATGGGAGCATACGGGCTTTCCTGACTTCCTTTTAAACAGTTGGAGAGAAGAACAGCAATAGCACTTGACTTTTGAACTCTTCTATGATAATTGCACCAAGGGTAGCTGACTGTCTTAGAAACACACCAACAATATAAGCATCTCAAAACTCATCAGAGCTAGAGGAAATTCATTAGCTGTCTTGCAAATTCATTTTACTGAGGTGTATAGAATGACTACAGAGGAAGGAATCACAAATTCTAACTTTCAATTTCGAGGGGAGTTAAGTTGCTAAATACCCTTATAAATTAAGTCATAACTCATCTACTCAGTGTCATTTGTGAATTAAAGTAGAACAAAAGTAAAATCTGATTTTCTTAGCTGTTGTCTAATTATCTCTTTGCTGCAATACAATCCTTTCTGGCGTTTTCTCATGCTTCTGATGCACAAGGATTTTTATTCTCAGAATCAGAAACTGAGGATGTGTATATGCTACAGGTATCTGCTGTGGCAGCCAGGCTAACTCTGTTTACTTGTAGATATTGAGGAGTCTCTGTGTACGCATTTCTTACTTAATTCAATGTAACTAAATAATTAGGCCTTTTGTGTGTGGTTTTCTTTTTTTTTATTAGACAACCTTTTTCTATCAGCTTTTGAGTATGTCGTCTTTCTCTAGATGCAAAGTGGGTGACATCTGTGATTAATTGACTTAAATTTATTTCTATGGTTGTAACCAGAACTTGAAAGTTAGTAAAATGCTTGGATTTTTTCATTCCAAACATTACTTTTTGAAGGCTTCAATATGAATTTTCTTTTTTTTTTTTTTCCTCTCCAGTTCTATTTTCTCTCAGCCAATCCTATCTTTGTAGATGTACTGTACTTTGAGACCACAATGCTCAAGATACATTTACACTTATTATCTTTTTGTTTTATGTTGCAGCCAACAATTTTCACATTACTGCCTACTTTATGAAGAGATGGGTTAATCTCCGTTGTGCTCTAGGGAAACATTATCGTGGTAAGGAATCAGTTTCAAATAGCATTACTTAGAATTATGCATTTCTGTGAGTAAAAATAAAAGGGAACTGATAGTTGTTAGCTTTTGATCTACTTAAGATTTGTTTTAAAGCTAGAATTTGTTTACTCTAGAATATGTTGTCTAATAAAAAGAGAAATATTTCTTAAGATGTGATTATTATTCTTTTTAAACTTAATTTTAAATTTTTGTAGATCTTGCCTCAGGTTTATAAGCTAAGTCACACCAAATTCTGTATGAATGATGAGACTCAGCATTTTACTGAGTCTCTACAGGGTGAATCAACTAGAGGTTGCAGTATGAATCACTTCATTATTGCTTGAGTGTCTTGTGACATCAACTGTATAGTACAAGTGTATGCAAGAAAAAGCTTTAATTCAACTCAGTGCTATAAAATCTTTACATAGGTGATATCATTGGACTAGATCCTTTTTTCGTGTTTTCTCAAGCCAAGATGCTCAGTAAGGAAGTGATATCAATCCTGTCCTGCCAACAGCAATAAAGAAAAACTGTAATGATCACTGCCCATTGTGCTTAGCTTTTCATATTTTTCTTTTCATGTAAAATAAGTCCAGCCCCTAAAAATATTGACTATTTGAATGGAAATTTTAAAGATATTTCTTTGTTGTTTTTTTTCCAAATTGAAATTCATTTTATTCATGAGTGTTTAAATTTTTCTTCAAATACCAACCCTTTTTTATTCTAATTCAATATTGGTGGAAGAGACTGGAATTTGATTTTAAATGTTTTGTTGAACTTCTGTCTGCCTCCTGGAAGAACTGTATCTGCAGTAGTATCTCAGCATTGTTTTCTCTGTATTAAATCCAGACCTTTTTCAAGGTCAGTGAATACCTACTTTCATTTTGTTAGCCAGAAAGTGAGATTGTTGTGATGTATAACAATAAAAATTACTAACCAGAATAAACTTGCTGTACCAACGCTGCCAAAAAGCAAGGCTTTGATTCTGCAGTCAAAATTTTTCTTCTACATGAAGTTCGTAGCAAGACAGGAGCTTCATTTTGCCGAGTTTCACTACTAATAAAAAGCAGAACATATATATCCTCAAAAAATATTAAGTCCTGATGTTTCTTTTCTGTAAGAATATACCTAGTATTCAGCAAACAGACAAGGAGCCTAACAGAAAAAGAATCCTGCATACTGTGATTGGTTTCTCAGTATCTAAACTAAACTTACCTAAGAGATGATTCTTGGAACCCCACGTAATAAATTTAGCCTTTGTGAAAGTTGCCCAGCTTTTCTTCACAGCCCTTTGGAAGTAACTTGTAGACTGCTCACAGTTTGAAAGCCATTCTAGAAGACCTTTGGGGGTGGCCTTCAGCTCTTGAGAATACAACCTGAGAAACAATAGTCTGGTAATAAGGCACAGCCACAGCACGAATATTTCTTTGGTGCTAACAGTTGATATTTCTGAAAGGCTCATCATATTTGTTATCCAGTTATAATAGTTTAACTAGCTGTTGTGCCAATAAAGATGAATTATCTGAATTCTCTCTGTAATTTTTCAAACAGTGACAAGTATAAGGTAATTTGTTTTAACATCCCTATCTTTCATAGTGATGACTTGAGCAAAATCACTGCTGGTGAGCCCTTGGAGGGCTTTGTCAGGTACTACTGGTGGTGGTAAAGAAGCATGACCTTCCAGAGAGCAATTTGCCCATATGGAGGATCCGTGCTGACAAATTGTTTACATTCAGCCAGTACCCTACTTATTATGTAGAAATCCTTCAATTTTCAGTCTTCTGTAAACAGAGATTTAGTTGTGTTCGCAACAAACTATGTAAACTTGAGTAAAATATATGATTCAAGTTTACTAATTTATTTATTTACTTTAAGTTACTGCAGTCAGAGTTGGAAACACTTGTCCATAGGCTGAATTATTATATCAAGTCCTGTTGGAATATGTTGTGCTATGATGTACTGTGTTACAGACATGATTAACAGCTTTTGTTATGAAAAGACTAATCACCAGAATTGCACAGAATAAATGGTTAAGTGTGTTTTCTGTAGGTTCTGTCTGGTATATTTGGCCAGAGGTATATGTGGGCTAATTTGCAGCTGTGACTGTCTTCTTGGGAGCTAAACTTACTCTGACATGCTGATTAAATTTTTTTAAACAATTTTAAAACAAAAATGAAATGCATGTATGTTTTCAGTATGTGTTTTTTTAATATGTGTATAATTTTCGTCTTCTGCATAGAGCTACGTATGTTTCCAGACAAATTTGTTGTTTGTATCAGTAAACTTGAATTTAATCCAAGCGCTTGGACATGTGAAAATGGTGCACTGGTATGTACGAAGCTGTTCTATAATTTTTCTGGTTTATTTTATAGTGGTAAGATGAATGTATATGTATAGCTATAATTATCTGTATATTTGTGAACGTCATCTTGTGATCAAAATGTCACATTAACAGTTGTACAGAATATTTGGGAAGAGATCCTTAAGTGATTGTTTGAAGCAGACAAGAATTTTTGGAAGTTCAGCATTTTCAGAATTTTGTGATTTATCCTTGAAACACTTTATTTTCCATGAGGATAATGGAGCAGATTCTAATGTCAGTGGCTTTTTTGTATGTTTTCTTAGTTCTGCAGGACAACTCAAATGAGTCAGTGCTAGGCCCTGTTGGGGGAAAAAAAGTCCCCAAGCATTTATGGACGGTGGTGTGTAGTTAAATACCATAAACAATTCTGCTTAAATATTTCATCTTGAGAGCTTTATAAGGGTCAAAGGCTCATGAATTTCATGCTGCAGTTAACTGCCAGTTGTCTCAAGAGTGTTCACGTTGGCCCAGGTGGCCTGCGGTACAGCACATGGTCTGCTCTGTGCTTGCAGTAAGAGTCAGCATTATGTGCTGATCTCTATGAATGTGACAGTCGTTTGTCTTGGGTATATTAAAATATATTTGACATCTTAAAATAAATCTGAACATTGTACTTAGTACTTTTTTATATCAAGCAGGTTTGTGTTTACTGTGCTTAATGCAGTTTTTATTATCTTGATTCTTCAACTGGTAAATATCCTTAAATGTCAAAGCAGTAAGGAAATACTTTTCTAAGGAAGACATGTCTAACTGCTTTACAAGTATTCTGCTATTTTGAAAATTATTATTTTCTCAGTATTGTCTTGAAAAACTATTTAGACACTTTTAATGGAAAATCCTGCCTTTGGAGTTTGACTGAGAAATAGTTATTTCTTGTTTAAGAATCTCTTATGAAATATTCAATTTCCTCCTTTGCTATTTGTATTTAACTTTAATTGATGATAAATTTTCTTCTTAGTTTTTTTTCTGTGAGTCTGTGTAGTAAGAAGGCAAATGAAAAATAGCATTATATAGTCTTTAGTTTGACTATTTGGAAATTTGATCTGTTATATGGAAAATCCTAGTCATTTTAAACATTTGTGTTTAAAAACCAAACAAAACAACAGCAAAAAATTGCACATCAAATAATCTCAGTGGGATCATACTCAAATCAATACTCTAGCCTTGGGAGTTTGCTTTTCTAACAGATGCAGTACATGCACATAAAACAGGTGGGCATCATCAGTGTAATGTGTTGGTAGAAGAGAATAAAATAAAGCTATCCTTAAGTCATCTTCCCTGATTTGAAAACTAACAAGAAGTGAGTAGAGCTGCAGCAAATGTTCTGCAGCACTTTCTTAACCCTTGGCACACTAACTTAAGGGGCTTCCTGTGGACTGCTTTATTGGTCCATCATTTCTACAGCATGTTAATGCTAGATTTTTCGTACAGTACAGTTCAGTACTTTGCCAAATTGAGTGGGTGTATGATTGCAACTGAGGGGTAATTTCAGTTTTTTTTGTCACTGAAGAAATAAAGACCGATCTGCACTTTGTGTGTGTACTTTTCACTATGCAGTTTAGCACTGACTGTGCCCGAACTTTAAACTAGATTACAAAAGACCACCCAGAAGACCTTTCTGTTGATAGACTCCAGTGTATTCTGTCATGGGCTAAAAATGAGGCATATGTTTTGTTTTCCTCTATATGTTGTTTAGGTTTGAATCATTCATTTCATAATATTGTATTTAAGTTCGTTTTTGTATTTAATCAGCTCACACCCTTCGTTTGAGGGTCTGTCCGTGTTTTATAAAAATAGTTGACTCTGTGTTAGTGGAGACTTTGTCACATTTCAGTGTCGCTTATTGTCATTACAATTAACTTAGTTGAGACTTAACAATTTTTATTTTTGTTTTATACCTGCAGTTATGCAGTTTTATGGTTTTGGGGTAAGCATTCGTTCCTGAGCTATTTTGTCCCTCCTGGGATAGACAGTGATTAAACCAAGTTTCAAGAGATGTAGCCAGATAAGAAAGGTTAGTTTTATGTCCCTACACCTTAGGAAAGATAATAATTATATTGCTTCTGAGATATTCACAAGCACAAACTGTATGAACAAAATACTCAGAGAAGTGATTTAAAATCTTGTGATGCATCATGTAAGACCAAGGAAAAGGTGGCTTAGGCAGACTCTGTCAAATTAGATTTAAGTTTAATTAAAGATTTGAGAGCGCTTCTAAGGAGTAGATCTGAAATAAAATAGAAGATGAACTGATACGTAATTTTCTCTTAAATCTATTTAGAAATGGGTGTTGTCATATCTTTGAAACAGGCTGCAGGCAGTAATTATCATTTTCGAAGAAATTTCTTTTTTAAAGAAACATTACAGCAAATTACTGAAAATAATTCAGCAAATTGGAAGGCTCAAGAAAAAGATGGAAAAATAGCCTGGCTTAGTAGTGCTAATTCAGTACAAATACAAAGCCATGGGTTCCTGTTTTGCAAAACTGTGTTTGTAATCTTGAATAGTTTTGTCTTGGAAAAGAAGACCGCTTTGGGAATATGGCAAAAAAGAAAACCCAGGCAAATGAAAGAGCTCTAGAGAGATCAGTCATCTCTGCAAAGATTACGACATTTCTTGGGCTGATTATTATGTAGAGAGCTAAAATGGAAAATTGGAAATGGTTATCTGAAGAAACAATGTAATGGAAATGGGTGGAAGGTTTATTGAAGGTTTGGGAGCATTTGAAAATGTGCTAACAATGGAGTATTCATTGATAACTACATCAGCTTTATACTGGAATCTATAAGAGGAAGTGATTGTAGGGAAAACATAAAGGAGGTTAAGCTAATGACGATACTGATGTGGAAATTTGAAATTACCATTCATATGACATCAGAAAAGAAAGTGGAGAGCAGGAGATCCTGCTTTGATTAAAAAAATCTCCAGGTTACTAGTAAGCTTTGTTAAGTTGCAGAAAAAATTATAGAATATTGCTCTTAAAAATAAAACAAAGCAAAATAAAAAAATAAAGCAAAGCATACATAGGTACAGTAGGAGAAGAAAAGTCCTAAAGATATGCCCTGTGCCTTTTAGATCTCCACGAATGAAAGAAGTAACATTTCATCATCTTCATACATGTCTCATTTTATAAATTGTTGTGACATATTTATGTACATTGCAGAATTCTCTTTATTAAAACAAATGTTATAAGAGAGCAAGTGACATAATTTGCTTGGATTTTGATTATGCTGGTAAGAGGCTTCTGATTCTCCCATGGAAACATGCACTCTTAGCTTTGATTAACACAGAACTTGATATTAGTGTGCGCTGCTGCAGCATTGTGCTTGTTGCAAGGCAGAATGAAAAGGAAAGCCTTTTTTTTTTTTCAGGCAGGAATAATTTGTAACTGTTACTAGAGGATTTTGTGTGAATTTAGTTATCTTAAGAACTTTAAGGTGTTATCAAATTGAGCAGGGGAAGAAGGAAATGTTGTGGAATACAGTTGTACAGTTCACAGTCTATAAACTATTGTATCACAGTTAAACTGCTGTAGTTTCTGCTGAAAGGGCAGTCCGTATTCCCTCTAGTTCCAGCTATGTATTGCTTTCCTTTCTGGTTACAATGGACCAGCCAAGTGATTCTTCAGCCAAGAATGAATTAGTTCACTGAACTGATCTAGAAGAAAATGATTTACTTGTGAAGTTTCTTTTTTTTTTCTTTCTGCTAAATTGGAGGATTAGTTTTCCCACATCTCAGTTTACTTAACCAACTCATATTGTGTCCAGTTGTTGCTGACTGTGACACAAAAAGTGTTGTGGGAGCATGCAGCCAGGACTCGGAAGAAGACAACAGGATTACCCTCTGAGGTAGCAGCTGATAATTACCCTCATTTAGAGGTAACATCCAAAATGCACGCTAATAGTGCCTTTTAATACTTGCTTGGTGTTCAGATTCATTATCAACTTTTAAATTTCATAAAATCTATTTTTCATTTGTTTTCAAATATTATGCAAAATTTTATTTGGTCATTCTTGGAGACATAGCTAAAGGAAAACAATGCTAAGCTGTAGTTTGACAGTTTCTTTAAGAGGATTCGCTGCTGGGGAAACTGCAGACCAACAGATCCTGTCCATATACCACACGTGGTTGAACAGCTGAAGAATTTTCTATTTTCTCTTCGAGTTTCCACTTCTGACACTTCAAGATTTTGTCTTTTTTTTTTTTTAATTTATTTTTTATTTTTCCCTTCACCTTTCATGTTTAACTCAGTCTGATGCAAGACTGAACCATACAGTGCCTCCTGCCTTCCCTTCTCTGGTCTGTGCATTCTTGTCCTTGACATCTGTCAGCATTGGCATGTGGGGAGCTGGATCAGTTCACTGGTTCCTCTGAAAACAAGGATTTTTTGGTTTTCTTTTTTGCTGTTGTTGTTGTTTGCATGGTTAGCTTTCAGCTGGATGACTTCAGTGGCCAGGTTCTTACTGCGTGGCTGCATAAATACTCATTGATGCAGAGGCTTTTGGTGGGACTGTGTGTTTGATAAGGGTGAGATTTCCCTTTTAATGTCAGGTGTAGCTTTAAAGAGTGCTGTGGTACTATTGTTTTTGACTTGGTCATAAAGAAGAAAGCTACGGCAGTTTTAAACTATTCACTCCAGTCACAGGTGTCTGCCTCTTCTCCTTGAATATCACCACTTCTAAATAACAGAGTTTGCGAAAAGGTCTGTGTGCTTGCACCTCATCTTGTTGTAATTCAGTCTTACAGATTCATACAAACCAGAGTTCATTGAGCTTTCAGCTAATGCACCAAATGAGTGGGAGCAGCTGGGGTGTGTGCTCCCTTCTGCCAACCCTGATGTGGGGGCAGAAAGCTCTGCAAAAGGGGAGGGGAGGATACCTGAGAGTGGTAATGTGGGAGATTGCTGCAGCATGATTTGTTAGAACTTGTCTTAGTTTCTTCTTACAGCTTGCAAACAGACTGATTC